ATAAAGGGAAGGGGCGTATCTCTAACTTCTTGAAACGAACAGTAGACGCGTGGCGGCTAATTTCCGTTTTCAGTTGAAGTTGGAACTTAATTTTCTAAATATTAACAGAAAAGATTTTTTTTTGACTTGTAGTTTTTTTTTATTGAATTTACTAACACCCCCTACCTTTTCTGGACACCTTATATATACAGCTACAAGAACAATAATAAGACTTACTTGATAATTCCGATAATATGGTGTGGTATGATTGTTAGGGGTGTCTCTCTCTTTTTTATGCTATACTTTGGTAGTGTGAATTTAAATTAGTAAACTCGGGATCAGAATTGGTAGCTCTGGTCTCGGTGGTCGTTTTTGCTGTTTCCTGATCGGCACAAGTTTGCGTTCAGGGCAGCACGGGCAGCACTGAACGAAAAAAATTGATTATTGTGATTAATCGGATTAATTGTTTGTAATCAATAATTTTAAAATAATTAAAAAGGTTATCGATCAATTGATTATTAATCGATTAATCGAATAATTAGACCTACCTCATTTATCGGCTATTTACAATATCTTTAGGCAATGTATCTATAAGGAAATACTGGATGCGCACTAATTCTGTTTGAAAATTGCATTTTCATGAATTGAATTTCCTCCATTACGTAGGCACTCCATCCATTCAACGAAAATGTAAAGATTTGAATAAAATCGTTAGGTTTGATAGTCAGGCAGTTTCAATTTCCAGAGCAATTTGTTTATTGATTCTTTTACCTGCTAGCTGTTCTCAATAAAATGGTTCGCTGTTTTTATGATTGAGTTTACTGACGCAATGATTTTGTTGCAGGGGATTCGGTAAACAAGGGTTCCAGTGCCAAGGTAAGCTACCGTTTTATTGTACAACCGTAAATTATATTGATAATTAAATTGGTTGACGTATTTAGGTATTTGCAACGTTCGGTATCAAGACTCCCAACGAACCCTGTAAACATTGTAGGCATTAAAATCAAAAAGCTTCACTGACCATAAGCAAAAAATTGACCACGACTTGCTATGGTCTTTTCGAATTCCTATACAACGTAAACTTTTGTCATGGAACTATCGATATTATATAAGGAGAATGAACTCATATGGGAAAGTTAATAACATTCTCCTGTCTAAAAATTTTCTCAAATAAGAACACGTTAATTTTCCGTAGGAACCGACGCGACTCAAGACGTAATGTAATAGTATTTATCGCAAATAAATGTAGTCCAAGATTTCAGAGCCCTCAGGCATTACTTATTTTCTGAGTAACAAAATTGGTGGGATAGAGAATAATGCTTCCCATCGGCGGTAATTTCTACCAGACGCTTAAAAGTTCGCAAAAACAAACAGGTGCAACTCAGTTACATGAAAGAAGTGCAACTTCTTTGCCAATCTCTATACCTTTATGTCGAATAAGTAATGATTGGTGAAAGAGAGAGTACGACAATTTTCAGGATTTTGATTGTGAAATAGTTCTTTATGTATCATGTTTAAAATGAAAACTCAGATTATAAGTAAAATTACTACTGTTTTTTTGCGAATTTTGAAGCGTCTAGCAGAAATTACTGCCACTGAAAAGTGCCTGGCAGTGTTGATTATTAATTTTTAATAATATTATGTGAAACACTATGTAAAAATTGGCACTCAGACTTTTAGAAGAACCGGTAATGTTCATACGTACTTTTAGCACCTGATATCTGCAAGTTAGCAGGTGTGCATTCGTTCAAAGTACATAGTAACACCCATTTTCTTACTCAGAAAATAAGTAATGTCTGGCAGCTCTGGGATCTTGCTCTAACGTGAGATAAGCAAGTAAACGTTTATAACCAATTTCCATGGAGATTACCGATTTTCTACCTGTAATATAATTTGGTGTCTTGCTTGAGCAAATTTTTGGCCACCGAAGTTCGTAGTCCTTGTGTCGTCTTCATGCTAAGAACACTACATGGCCGTCGTGAAAGCGTCATGATGTTTTTGATGGCTGTCATTTTCGATTGTTGGTATGGCTGAAATGACTCCAGTTTTGGTACTAGCTATTATTCGATGATATTAATGTTTTTTCTAAAGCAAAAACTATCCAACATGATTGATTTATATTTACTTCTTTTTGGTTTTCGAAATTTTTATGGAAAGAGTTTTTGGACCCTAATGGTTACCTACTCAAAGTAAGTTACTCAAATTTGAAACATGTGAACCAGACATTTTCATCTAAAACTAAATAACCTGTAATCGAGGATCAAGAATACCTGGAAAACTAAAGCCAATTGGGCAAAACATATTACTATTTCTAGTTTCAGAGATAAAAAACCCAAAAACTACTCCCAGCAATAAAATTACTGTTTACTTCTTTCTATTAACATTGTTTTCCAAATAATATCAACAAAGTGTTACTTTCGGGTAGATAATCGTAAGTGTCACAGTTCTGATAATGTATCGAATAACTCTCTAAGTTACACAAACTGTTTGCTGTAATCGATTGATTAAAGTTGACATTAGCTACAGTGGATTATGTTTTTTACAGAAATGTGCACAGGTAACAGAATGTCTTAGAATCATGTGACCATTTGAACTGTTTGCGATGGAATGAAATAAATCATTGATAAATTATTGATTAATTTCTATAAACTAGCTCATGCCATGGAAACTGCGCGTTACTTTCGGTATTATCTTTGTATAAATTCTTTCGCAGTAGGTACTAACTTTCGAACGTATTATTGCAAAAATGTATCAATAAATTACCGTCTTTATAATATAAATGATTCGATTGAACACTAAGAAGTTGATAGAAATGCGTCATATCTTAGTGTACGCATATTATAATTAGTTCGTCAAGATTCTTGTTAGCAATCGTTCTTGAAATCGTTTAATTAGCACTGGTTAAAGTGAGTTCATACCGGAAGTATCTGTTCTGTTCGGGTAAAAGTTTGATCTTGTTGGCTTTGTCGTAAGCAGTTTCATTTGATTCATGTAGTTCATGCCCATTTGCGACAGTAATGTCTCTAACGTTGCTCTCCAGCAACAAATGTTAAAGAAATTTGCAAAGAAGCTGAAATATGGTGTTGTTTCAGTGTGCAGCTTTGTAGTCCACAAGAGGTGCCATGAGTACGTTACCTTCACTTGTCCGGGGGTGGACAAAGGAGCCGACTCCGATGTAAGTCTTTATTAAGTACTTAAAACTAAATAAAAAACTACCTTAAATGTAATTTAATAAACATACATACAATTTAGACATCTTTTAGAAGTGAGTTATTTTATGATGAAACATTATTATTCTGAAAATTCATTTCTGAATTTTTTTACCCAATTTATTATTGACTTTCACAGTCATTATTATAATGTAGATGCATTATTTTAACTAACGGCTTCGATTTCCTAAGAAAAAAGAACTTCTCACAATGAAGAAAGCGACATTTTGAAGCATAATTTTGCCTTCCGGAAATCTGAATGATGTTCGTAGGACCCTGAAAAACGGAATAGATAAGTGAAAAGGCGTCGAACAGAAAAAACTATTTGATATTCAGAATGAGTAACTCCTCCAAATTCTCGTCAATAATAAACGTTTTTTAAAATGAATTGATGTGATGGAAATGTCATATCTCGTAGTTGTTATTCCATTCGAAACGACGAAATTGCAAAGTTCTTCGAAATCTATGTTTAAACTCAGTTTCGTGCTTGTTGTTTGAGCTGTTCGACATTTCTGTATAATTAATAAGAAAAACTCATGCATGCATACGTATCTAATTACATTAATATTACAATTTGGAAACACGCTATCGAATTATAGCAAAACGTTTCATATAAAAAACATCGTGAAAAAAGTGACTCTGAAGAATGATCTCAAACTGAAAGGATTTATTAAGTTTGGACTCCGCAAAATTTTAAATCGAATCATCGTTCGAACGATACAGTACCCCAATTTTAGGTTTCTTTTCTCAACTTTTCTCACTGAATTGCCGCTTAGAAAAAAAAATGTGTATTCGTAAGTATCCGTATGCTTTTTTATACAAAACGGCATATTACACTCATAATAAAAAGAATTTCTCCAATGTAAAGAAAATTCATTGACTGAAGTAAATGATTTGTTTATACATAATCAAAAAAATATTTTCTACAATCGAGTAAAGTAATTACTTAGTATACTTCATTTCCTTTCTCTAGCGATGTGTCCCTTCCAACATCTTGGATGCGCGCTGGCAAAATCGTAGGTAGGGAGAAAAAAGCTCATTATACTCTTGACTCTTGTTCATTAAACATACTTTTCATACAGTACCTGTCAAAAGTTTTGTTCAATCATGAATAGTAGTGCGAGTCGAAAACAACCGTTAAAGCCTTTAATGTCTTCAAATATAAATAAACATCTCGTTGATATTTTCAGTAGTAAATAGTACCAATAACAGTACATTTGAGCAATGCAATTNGTAATTTATAAAATGTAATGAATTTCTTAGTAGGTAACTATTGTTTTTTTTTATTTAAACGGATATTATACATATAATACTAATTTATTTTACACATTATTTAACATATTTAACACTTCAAACACTGAACTTGCAATATTATATCACCTGCACTTATCGACTTTTTACATTTCACTTCCTGACTGTTTACTAGTTAGCTGTATATTTATATTATGTTCAAACATTCTTCATGGTTCTTTTTTATAGAAAGCTCTCGAAATTCTTTTGTTACGCGGTCATGCATTTGTCGTTCAGCCTATGACTTATGACCCTGATTAGTTCGCCGACAAAATACCGTCGTTATAGATCAACCCTTTCGTCACCGCTATAACGGGCATCCTTGCTGCTTTATCAAATAATTCATAATGCTTAAGACTACTTGTTCACAAGAATAAGTGTCTCAAAAACTTTCAAAAATTGCACGAACCCCTATAAAATTGAATTGAAGTAAAACAGAAATAGAAATTTGAGAATACTTTGTATTAAGTAGAACTGGAGCCAGGAGGGTAACCATAACATTATGGGAAGGTTCCTGCTGCTGTTGTATATCTAAGTAGATAAGTACGTTAAAATGAGGAGTTGTTTTTGATAACGAAAGACTTATGCTGCCTTGTCTTAAAGAAAACCAAATCTCGCTAATATTCTTTGTTTTGAATTCATCTCGGAATATTTCTTTGGATTTCATGGGAATGAGAACAGCCTTAACAAGACTTTCTTCATTAATATTATTAATTTCAATCAAAAATTGACTCCGCGCCCATGCTTCTTGATTAAGATGTTCTGGGGAACGGTAACCTTCAAAACCCGTTAAATGGAACGTAAAGTCAAACAGGTCATGCGCGCAGTTTTACAAATGACTGCATTAATTATATTAGGCGCTTTTGCGAAGCCGTTTCAAAATGAGAATATCGAATTAAGATGATCAAAATGTGACGATGCCAGTGAAACACGCTCTTGATTGATTGATTCGTATTTATAGGGAAGGAAGAAAATGTGAATCAACCAGTTAGAAACGCGTTCAGCAGCCGTCATCTGATTTTGATCATTTCATTTTGATATACTGCGAAACAGCCTCGCGAAAGCGCCTGTTATAATAAATTATGTTAGGCAAAGCGCTCAATGTACTGTAGTAACCCTAAGGGGGGTATTCCCCTTCAATAGGGGAATGAAATTATTGTTGATCTGGTAATATGGTTTTCTAAGTGTAGTCTATGATAAAGGTGCTCGCTTATCACTTCTTATCGACGGCCTAGACGAACCGTATTCTATTCCTAGTGAAACAATACTTTTTAACTGTCTGTTTAATACAAGAGGCCCGGGAAATGCCGGGGAATAGGGACAGAACGAATAAGAGTACTTTACGCCTGGAGCATTTTCATCTGGAATATTTACGGAAAAAAGTTTAAAATGTCTAAATGGCTTGTTGGGATATTGCCGAGAGATACAGAACTGTGAACTTAATATGTAATAAGCAAAGTTATGAACTCTTTTACGAAGTTTACTATTCTAGTTTCAAAGTCCCTTGTGCACAACAGATTATTTACTACAGGAAATTTTCATAAGTTTGACACACAATTAAGAAAATTAATATAAAATTGAATGTATCAGAAAGTTACGAAGTTAACAAACCAAGCAAGTTACGCTTAGGTACTAACGATCAAATTGATATTAAGAAGTCAAATAAATACAGAGTTAGTCGGTAAAGTCGATTACAACGCGATTTCTGTCCTGCAAAGGGTGCCTGGAAGTCATCTCCCGTAAGCTCTTTCAGAAATTATGTAACAACTCGTTGAATGGCGTAAAAATCTTGTGATTCTTCAGGCATTTCTTGAGCTTTGGAGATGGGAAAATGTTCTTCAGACTGACATTGGCGCTGAACGATGATTGCGGCGATATTGCAACTGATAACAGGGTTCCGAGGCAGGTAGGCGATATGGGGTTGACCGTTGTCTTGAGAGAGCTTTTAACAATGGGCAAACTCCGGCCGATTTAGCAGATTCCTTACTTTGCTCACATATTGGGGTCAAATCATTTGTTGAAGGGTGTCCAGATCGCTTCATGTATTCAAAAGCCTCCTGTCTATTCTTGAACTCACTGAACCACCAGGAAATCTAGGCACTTAACAGGGCATCTTGTTTGTAAGGCTCCTTAACTAAACCAAGGATGCCTAGATGAAAGCAAAATTTAATTGTGTAGTCCTGCTCCAGGGAACACTCCATTTTTGACATTTTCTGCCGTGAAAAAAGCTCAAAGGCGACTTTTTCGTCACTTATGATTTTGGCTGCATCAAAGCTCGGACGCCGGGAAACACAGTACATAATGGCGACTTGTGCGCCGTACATCGGTCAATCTCATTACTTTACGGAGAAACCCTGTATATTTTTTGTTGTTCTAGTATTTAAAAGATTCTATTTAATTTTGCGAGGGGAGGTGGAGACTTTTATTATTTCAACTAACACACTCAAAAAATTAATTATGAACAAATTTCTGTTTATTCAACTAATTGAAATCGTCTGACACATTTGAAAAACATGAACAAAAGGTTATTGTTCTGTGGACCAGTATTTTGGCATACATCCTACCTTAATTGTGTTATTATCTTTAGTATCAGGCTCCTTATTTCCTCGTTTTTTATTCTATCTGTTTTTACTGCTACAAAAGGGTTTTAATTTAAGCTCAAATGAGAAAACGGAGCATTTCAAAGGAGCTGAAATGAACGACCAAATTAACAAGTTGCAAGTGCAATTTACCCTTAGGCGTTCTGCTGGGTTTTTATTTATTTAGAAGCCGTTCTAGATGCAATGAGAATGCCGGTTCATTCATTTTGTTTTTTAATAACTCTGCTACAGGGATGATAACGTCCTTTTAAATAAACAGGTATATATTCTCCTATGACAATTGCTAAGTTGTTTTATCGTATAATTTCAAAGAAAATTTTAAAAAAGCGAAGTGTCTGTCGGTTCGCTAAATAGAATCACAGAAATTAAATTAATTGGAATAATAAAGTGCATAACAATTAAGAATATGGGTTGTTCTAGTTTTAGAGAAATGCGAAGATTAGCTCAGGATAGGAAAGAGTGGAGGTGCATGTCCAACCAGTCTTAGGACTAACGACTTTATGATCATGATAACAGTAAATAAAAGGCACAGGGAAAATGTACAATTCATAGAGAAAACGTAGTACGTAGCAGACAATACATCTAAATTAAAATGAGAAACTAATGAAAAATAAAAATGAAAATTTTCTTAAATTTATTTTATTTTGCATCCAATATACTTTTGAGGCACCTGATCCACAAGTGAACTCCTACGTCGTACCAGTCTAAGTTCTTTTTTTTTGTTTTTGTGGAAGAGGGGAAATCTTCAAAAGACACCCAGTTGTCCGCACGACTGGGTAGTAGCCGATTCCCGAAGAAGGTGTCCTCGGACCTATCGACTAAAACCCCTCTACCTCAGGCCGTTATACGACTTATCGGTCCTATTCAGACGACCAGTCTAACTTTAAAGCATCCGTATATATAGTTTCAGTTATTGTAAATAATATTAACCGAGCGGCATGGCCTAAAGGTTTAGACCATTGCTTAGCATTCGGGAGGACGCCGGTTCGATTCCGGGTCCGTCTTCGTTGGTCCAAGTTTTTCTGTGGTTTCCTTGGATCACTTAGGCAAATACTGAGGCAGTAATATTCCACAGA